GTTGCGCCGCTTAAACGATAGGACAGTAGCCCACTTCTCTGTTTTGGCCAAATCTGATGTGCTAATCAAACACAGGATGTTATTTTTATATTGCCAGCTTTCATTTTGGAAACTGTTAAATAAAAATGGGGTCATCATTGATTGAAAAAAACAAGTCGAATTTACATTGATAGGCAGGCTAAACAAACGCGCGGTAAAATTTGCTGAACATAAAGATGACATGCAAATCTTTTCCGACACGTGGCAGCAAGTTGGCCCTCCTCCCTGCGAAGTTATGACCAAATTCGAGAAAAACAAAGGAGGAAAACAATACCTTTTTTTGAATGGGTCCGGATAACGGAAAAGTAACGACAGTACATATATCAAAAAAAACTTTTGTGGGACTCAAGTTTTTGTGAAATTTTTTGCATGACTTTGAGATGAAAGGAAGACATTGATGCAAATGATACTCTGATTCATTAAGTGAACAACGCAGAACAAAAAACTATCAAGGTCAGGTCAATAGATTGGAGGCTCATATTTCCTTCCATTCTTCTCAGTTAGATTGGCGAAGCATACAACAAATGTGACTCTAATTCCATTTTTACTTGTATTCGCTGTACCGCATCCAATTGGGCCGGGTTTGTATTTCTAGAACATGCATACTTTGCATTTCGAACAAGCTCAAGATTTCTAATGCCGAGCTGATATTAACATTCAAATAAATCTAGTAAGTAAGTCAGTAATAAGTCTTTAGGTTGAATATAGCCTAATCGCATCAAAGTGACAAGGAAAAACGTCAATGTTGCAGTTGGTAGGCTTCAGATTGACAGCTTGTTGAAACTTTTGACTGTTCATCTCAGAGCAGTCCTGTCGCATTATTCTGGATAAATCATAAGTTCTTGCTCTCTCAACGGTTTTGCACAGACTCGATTTTATTGAACAGAAGAAAGCCTTCTCTTTTTGACAGTCCCTTCCTCAATGAGGCGTAGCTTTTGAGATGGAAGCAGGAGAAAAAATTACTTCAACTTTAGTCATTAGGTTAGGCGTCTAAATATCTGAAACTTGCGACAAAACTCCGAGCAAGCCTATGCTAAGTTTTATCCGCGATTTCCAACAGTGCAGAGCTTGTGTCAAAAGAGCATTTCTGTGAAGAGTTATGATATTCGGGAAAAAATGCCAAGAATTCCAATTTGCTGTTTTGTTTTGCTTACACAAAAATCATGACTCTCTATAGAGATGCTCTTTAAAGCCAAACTCTGCATTGTTAGAAACTGTGGAACAAAAAGCTTGCCATAAAGCTTGCTCGGAATTTTGTCGCAAGTTTCAGATCTTTACAGCCTAACTCAAAGTGACCGAAAAGGTAATCATTTTCCTGCTTCCATTTCGAAAACTACACATATTAGAAAGCAGCAAAGGCATTTCTACAAAGAAAATGGTTTTTACTATCTAGCAAAATCGAGTTTGCGCAACTCCGCTGAGAGAGCAAAAAGTTTTGTTTTTTCAAAAATGACACGAAAGAACTTTTGCATCAATCTAATATATTGAGTTGCGGCGAAAGTTCTTTAGTGTTCCATAGGAAGTTTAATCATTTTTGAAATTTTCAACCTGAACTCATGGGTTTGTGTTCAAAAATAGAAGAAGTTTGACGCTTTGCTATAGTTTTCTAAAAGAAGCTTTTCTCAGGAAGTAATGAACAGGGCCCGACACGCGTTGGTTTGGAGCTTTTTTGGAGACGAAGTCCCTCACGACTTCGCCTCGGCTAAAAATCAGTAGGGAAACCCTTAACAATAAAAAAGCGAAAAAAACGCATTTTGACTATTATAATAAGCAAAAGGAAAACATTTCGAGTCGATTAAAGGCTCTGCCATTGAGTAAAGTGTCATTTTGATGCTTAGAATATCGAAAACCTCCTAGGTCAACCAATTTTGTGGCCTCAACAATCGGGCAATGCATTTTTCGCCATATAGTTTAAAGGACACTGCATGTGATTGGAGCGCGATATCTATCAACGCGTAGGATTACACTACTTTTGTCTCAAAAAAAGAGGAGAGGCAGTGGTTTGATTTGCACTTTTCACTATATGATAGATTTTTATTCGTTCTAATCGTTCAAATCAAAGAGGTCCAAAACTTATGTGAAATCTTATATATAAAGCTGAATGTCTGTTTGTCTGTCTGTATGTATGTATGTATGTATGTATGTATGTATGTATGTATGTATGTATGTATGTCTGTGTGTACGTATGTTCCGAATAGAAAATTCCATTTCTGAACCGATCCGGACCAAACTTGGCACACATACACTTCGGGCCGCGGCGGGTGTCATAGGCTACTTTTCGTTATCGATCGATATCGATTTTATCGATTTTTATCGATTTTTTTTGTAAAGTTTGACCTGCGGGGCTGGGAGTTGGCACAGGGGGGGGGAGAAGTGAGCATGGGGATTCCGAATACAATATTAGTTTTCAGAATTATCGATTACTTTTATCGATTTTATCGATTTTTTTGCAAAGTTTGAGCTAGGGGGCTGGGAGTTGGCACAGAGGGATAATCGAGCATGCTGATCATCTCCAAGGGGGGTGATCAGCATGCTCGATTACACCCCTGTGCCAAATTCCAGCCCCCTAGCTCAAATTTTCAAAAAATCGATAAAATCGATAAAAGTAATGGACGATCTTGAAAACTAATATTGTATTCGTAATCTGCATGCTCGATTACCCCCCCCCCTGTGCAAACTCCCAGCCCCGCAGGTCAAACTTTACAAAAAAAATCGATAAAATCGATAAAAGTAATGGACGATCCTGAAAACTAATATTGTGTTCGTAATCAGCATGCTCGATTACCCCCCTGTGCAAAATCCCAGCCTCGCATGTCAAAATTTACAAAAAATCGATATCAATAAAAGTAATCGATAATTCTGAAAACTAATGTTGTATTCGGAATCCCCATGCTCACTTCCTCCCCTGTGCCAACTCCTAGCCCTGTAGGTGAACTCTGCAAAAAAAAAATCGATAAAAATCGGTAAAATCGACATCGATCGATAACGAAAAGTGGACTGTGACACCCGCCGGGGCCCGAAGTGTATGTGTGCCAAGTTTGGTCCGGATACGGCGGAGCCGGGTAAGCCAGCTAGTCTCCGATATTTATGGTCCTAACCAACCCACTTGGTTTGGTGTTGGTCTAGAAACCAACAAAAACGGGAACGGATATTAGGACACATAAGTTTTTGGAACTTTTTGTATAACATAGTTTGGAGTAATATTGTATGCACATCGCCTAAATTCGGAGCCATGTGATTTTTTATGCGCTGTAAACAAGCCATTTGTTTGTTTGAGCCGTGCGTTTGAAATTCGCGCGCTTGCGAAAGAACACGTTCACTTTTAAAACCTGACATGATCGTCGTTTTTTTGGCGCTTCCTTCAGGACCTTATAAAAACGATATCCCCGTTGCCTTAACTCCAAAAACAAAGTCCAGTTTGACCTTACACATCTGTGCCTGGCCCTGGTGATGAACACTTCCGAGTAGCATTTTAAAAAGAAAAAGACTAGAAGAAAGATTTTGTAAAGTTTAGTGAAGGCTTTCGCGTTTAGTGCTATCCCAAAAATCCTGCAAAATTGCTGAGAAAAGATTTTAGGTGGGGTTGCTGGATGGTACAATTATCCTTCGAATGATGTATACATAGAAGCAAAACTACTTTTGCTTTATGATCGTCATTCTGACATCGTTGGATGGGAACAACGTGAGATGGTATGAGACGCAGTAGTCTTGACGACTTTGCTCCAGCGCAAACTTCTACGCCGCTAACTGCAAACCATTAGATTGTCCGAAAATCAACGAAGCTTTTTTCTATTCTGTTTTTAAATCAACTGTTCTCCCGTTAGTCGTCCTTTTTCCGCGACCAACTTTGCATGCTATCTGAAATGTTATTCATATACTCTCTGATGTGTTGTGTCTTGCTTCGGTTATGGAGTTGTCTTAGCTTACAAAGATCCAAAGTAGATGCTTCAAATATAAAAATTTTCATCATTCACTATTTGAGGTGGACTCATTCGAAGTAAGGTATTCACATGAAAAGATAGAAATCTTAGAATGCAGACGAATATTTACAAAGTAATTACTATGGCTTTCGTCTAGCTATCGCGGGAACGGAAATATAAGTTTAGAGATGGCCAAACGTCGGGACCATTCAAGGACCACAAAACTTTTCTAAGAGAAGCAATCGCCAAAGCTTTTTCTGTGAATTAAAAGTAACCAGAGTTGCACAGCTACTTGAGCTGAAAGTTCTCATTTTTTACTATTCAATAAATAAATGAATAATTTATAGTTTTTGACGGTTATGGTTTTTCGAAAAAAGATTGAAAAGTTAACCCTTTTGGATCCGCTATGCTCTTTTTTGGCAGAAACGTTTTCTGTAGAAGTCTCTGTAGAGCAACAAGTTTGATACTGGCTCATAGCAACAAGGGTTAGGGATTTTCTTTCCAACGCACTTTTCTAAAATGCGTTACAATCTGCCAGAAACGACGTTGTTTTAGCGTTTTTGTTTTTTGGTCAACATTGAGTCTTTTGGAGCTACTGGAACAAATATGAGCCAAAGACAAAAGTTTTTTGACTACAGTAAATTCTTTTCACTTAAGGTAATATTCAGAAGGATTATTCCATTTTAAAAAACGCTGCAAAATCTGCGCTGATTTCCGGACAACTTAACAATCTTGATGCAGCTGATAGTCATGCTACATATAACTTAAGCTTAAATGGCTGCTCCATCTTCACTATTTTTTGCTTTTTTCATTGTTTATGACATACGAGCCAGCTTCAAAAGCTTGTATACGCTGAAATCACCCATCGGAATAGTATCATTGTAATTTACTGTTTGCAGAGAAATAAAACACTTTCCGGAAGAGGATAGAAAGTTTGAACACCGCATCTGTATGTAAATATTTTAACAAACCTGTATCAAGCTAGCTCTAGTGCTAGCGCATAGAAATTTGTTGAGTTTCTTGAAGTGGAAATGATTTGCTTCAGCGTGAAATACTTTGTATTACCTGAACATCAACATCCCTTTTTAGCCATGGAGCCGTCCCTGTAGCTGCAGCGTATTTATCTGATGTACTGAATTACAAAAGATTTCAATGAAAAAACGTGATTTGCTGATGTATTTGTAACGAACTTACAGTCTGAGATAGGGAAAAACCTGATAACCAAATCTATGATACGCTTTTAAGGATTTTTCTTCGAAAAGCTGCGTTATACTTGCGCTATTCGTTCTCCTTGCCAGATCATGTGCTTCTTTGGTTGACAAATTAGCCATTGTGCAATTGTGCTAAAGATGTCATTGTAACTGTTTCTGAATTCCCTTTCGTTAGTTGCATGACCTACAGAGCACCTACCGATTTCTTTGTATCAAAACTTTCTGTGCAAACTAGGAGACTTTAACCATGTAAACCAACCTTAAATCCTCTCAACAGAAGATCGCCCAACAGAATAGTATCAAACCATGTGAAACAGTTGGAAGCAAGGAATGATGCAGGCACGGCCAACATAGACTAAAATCAAAGATTTGCTAGTCTAAAGTGCGAGAAAAATACTTACTACAGCGATAATGTAGCGGTAAAGCATGACTGAGTTGAGTCATTGGTTTGGCCATCATCTTTTATACTTGGCAAGCTTATATTGTTTGAGGGTGTAATAGTGTTTATGCAGCGCTAACATTTTGGTTTAATACTTAAAAATGTTCGTTTTTTCGTAATGCAGGTCACGTTTTTTTAGTACAGTCCAGATTCAAAGACCTGTCAGGTTACTGAGTACAGCAAAACTGTTACGCAACTATGCCAATAAATTTCAGTAGCGAAGTGTGTTCTACAAAATATCGCACATCTCCTTTGCATTTCAGCCATTTTTCACTCAACATCCATAAATTTCCGGGTACCACGCAATATGAGAGTGAGTTCGATGTCGGTGAACAATTAGAAATGCTACGTAGGCGGTTGTGCAGCTTGTAGAGTTCATTTATTTTGATATTCTTTATGTCTACCGATCCGTGCAGAACGCCGTTAATTCAGAACTTATACTTGTGCTGCAGTTTCTAACCAACAACTGCAAGTAAATTGTTCGTATTCATCTCCAGAATACTGAGGTTTTTTATAAGCCTCAATTTTAACTTGTAGTCAATGAAATTTCATCATTTTGATATCTTATCTGTTTTATCGATAATAGTGCAGCCTTTCATTGGCTTCGAAAAGATAAGTCAAAACAAAAGGCGGCCTTAAAAGACAGTTGGCCGCTACATCGGAGGACATATAAAAAGGCACAAAAGGACGGCAACAAAGCACTTCTGTTCAATATGTTCGAAGTAAAAAGCGATAGGGATACCTGAGAATGGCTAGACAGGTGAAATACAGATTTCTGAAAGGTCCAGAGTTGAACTCCTCAGCTTCGTTCCGCTCCAGACAGAGTATGCTCATGCACACTGACCTAACAGTGGCGGAATGAGGAACGAGCAACTTCTTCACCCCCGCTCTCCTTAGAAAAAAAGTCATTTCCCGATAGAAGCGATTTTGAATTTCATGAAATATTAATGCTTCGCATTGTATGCCCGCAAAAATCAAAAGCGTTGAAAATCTCTTCAGCTGCTTTAAGGTTTACATATAACAAATGAACAAAGCTAAATAGATATATAAATGAACGAAGCTCTAGCTGTGCATCCTGACTGTCTTTCATAACATCATATCAACCTTTGGTGTTATTTTGAGTATAGTAGGTAAATCGTTACTCATAAATTAACGCACTTGGAGTGGGTTACACGAGGACTAAACGACTTAAGAATAAGAAGTGTTGAGAAAAATTAATGCATGAAGCAATTTGTATATCTGTGAAACAGCTGTAAGGTGGTGTAACATTTACACTAAAATCGATGCTCCATTTGTGTGTTCTAAAACTTGAAACTGCGCAAATAGGTGTTCCAATCAAGTTGATCAAGTGAATGGCTGATAAAAGAAGAGAATTGGAATAAGATTTAGGAAGAGTTAAATGTGTCATTTTTCGTTGTGTTAAGAAAAACAGGATGCTTCTTGGCGCTAACTTTTGAAGAAAAGGCATAAAAATAAAGGAATTCTTGGGTGGTACTGCCTTGCGGGAGAGTAAGGACAAACAATCTTGAAGATTTTTTCTAGACTCAGGTCTACTTCTTATCGACACTGTAGCATTTGTTACCTTCTTTTTTTTTCAACAAACAGCTTGCAGTGACGTATACCAGTTCACGTGAACGCAAGTGTCCTGTGAGTTGCAACATGGTTAGTATGTGCGACAGAGTTCAGTAGACATATAGTGCTGACCAAAACTATGGATCCATTTTGAAAACTGCCGTAGGTCACATTTGCTTCTCAACGAATTGATCTGAAATTTGGTACAGTCGTGTGTACAGGATACCATTAGTAATTAAAACGGCCCCGCCTTCGTCCAATTTCATTTAGAGGCAGAAAAATCGAGCGCAGGCTTGCTGTTAGGCTATGTCGGGTACTCTTCAATGCAAAAACTCAAATTTTTTTCTAGTGCTCACATCCCTAATCATCTATAAAATAGATGGAGCCCTATCGTTTCCGAATCAATTGAAAAACTGTGGAATCGCCTGCAAAACACATCCCCGGGAACAAAATACGCGTGAAAGTACTTTCAAGTAAAAAAAGCAGATAATCGTTTTTCATAAAGGTATGACGAAGCAGGACTAAAGCCACTGTTTTGATTTTTTACCATGTACTAGGTTGTAATGTAAGTCTTGCTATACTTTGATTGCTATAGTGTTTAACTTCTCACCGCGATAAGTCGTATACTTCATATATTCAATAGGGCACTGTAGCATTCAAAAGAGCAAAGCAAGTTCTACGAATAGGTGGTCAAAAGACAGCACAAGCTTTATCCCACCGTAAATTTGCATTCAGAATCTGAGTCGTATGAAAACGAAGAAATAGGAAAAAATTTATAGCTTCGTTCAAAAATCCTACCGGTCTGCAACCTGCTTACACAAATCGCCCACCACAACGGACACTCATTTCTACCGTCGCTGTATTTTTCCTGATCTAGAAATTGAGAAAACGAAAATCTTTATGCCTACACAGAAACAGCTCTCCTTTTTACTTAGGTAACTGTATACAAACCCTTAGAAATGTGACCGTGAATTTTCAGCTTTCCACAAGTCCTAGTTTTCGAAAGTTAGCCATTTTAGATTTCCTTACTCGGGTATTTCGTGCTAAAATCAATATCACTCGGCTTGCGGTATGCTGAGAAGTTACGGATATAATTCTGTTGGTCGTTTTAAAAGTAATTCCTTTTCTTTCAAAGGATCGCTACTGTGCTGAGGCCGGATTTGACCCCCGGCCTCAGCACTCAGATCATCTATTTGCGCGCCAAAGTTACCCATTTAAGGCGCCGGTGAAGGGGCTATGGACAGCCATCGAAGTTCAGCTACGACTCGGATCTACCACATTCTATTGTATATCATCTCTTCACTTTGTCGTACTTTATCACGTTAGTCGCCTCTGTTTAGTTTTTTGCCTCATTTATTCGATACTTCGACTTCAGGAGTTTTGGCATATCCTCTTAATGTTGAGATATTGCAAGTTTCCTGCCTTGGAGCTGTTTTGTTATTTGAATTTTAATGTTATTCGTTCCGCTTCCTAAGTTAGATCAATCCTAGTGCCCATATGATACGGTTGCTCATTATCGATACTCATACTCATGAAGTTTACGATCCTCAGGCTATTCACTCAGTACTGGAATGTTGTTGAAATTCAGTTCGTATTTGGTTTTGTTCGTATTTGTGTTGTTGATTCTATTTTTTGAATAAATAGGGTTTAATTACTCAAGTTTGAGGCGTTTGGTGTGGATTGGTGATTCTGCGGTTGCCCCGCGAGTACTTCGGTCAATTCTGTTATTCTCTGTTACTATTCCGATCGTGCAGTATATCGCGTGGCAGTGCTCTAGCTCGAACCGATTGGCACGAAAGGAACGACGAAGGCAGTTTTTACTACGAAGCACGAACCAGTCGAGAAGGTGGGAAGTTTAACCAAGATTCTTTCCCCCTTTTTTCCACTTCCCTTTCGGTCATTTTTTTCGATAAATTTTGGAGCTGCCCCCCCCCCCTCTTTGACCTTCCCGGGGGACCATTACAGCTACATTTTAACATAATGATGGCCATGCAGATTTTTGGTTGTCTGCCTTCTGGGAGCAAGACCTTATACAGACCAGCCCACATTTTACAAGTATAACTATGCTTACTGCCATTAACAGTACACCTACAGTAGATCAGAAAGGTTGAAGAAAAAGGTAGAGGTTATTCCTAAATAGCGCAAAGAAAAGTTGTTGGAGGGAGTTTATCCCGAGATAGTAGTCATTTAACAAAATTCAAGCCTTGCCACATACGGTGTGTCAGACTGTCCAACGTGGTAGTCATTGCTTGACACATTATAGTGTCAAGCGGTCGTCATCGTGTCAAAGAATCAAGAATTTTAAGAGATCTTGGTAGCATTCGAACCAACATTTCATCCTCTTTCTGACGATTATAAAGTAATTTGCAGCACCTAGATGAACTCAGTCAAAATCACCAAGATTTCCAACACATGCTTTCTGAGGTGGTCAAATTTTACAATTTTTTGAACTTGTATATCAGTCCTCCAAATAGTCCAGGTAACAATTCGTAAAGCCAACCTTATAAAATACGATATGACCTTTTTCCCTTTTTCATAGCACGCCACGATATTTGAAAAGAATTTTTCAATCAAAACCACCTGAATTTGGCCGGACTACGCCAGCCAATCCCATCAAACATTGATACTTATTCGTAATCTGAGAGTTTCAAGATGTTATAATGAGTTAGCACTAATTTTACAAAGCGAAATAAAAGAAAAGAGAGTTTTTCGGATACAGCCTGGGACGCGTTCAAAAAGGTGAATTATGGTGATTCTATTTTCGAAGTAAACAGATAGGAAAAACATACATTAAAAAGAGGAAAAAAAGCTGCATCGAATAGTATCCGAGCTGTCCTCTCTTTGATGTTCTACGAAGATTTAGCTGACCAAGTATGAAAATGGTAGCATCAATTAAAATTTTATCAGAAAAGTATGAAAAGCTGTGGAAAGGATAAAAAATTGCTTTGCTTCCAGTACGGTTTGCCCTATAGATACGTTACTTTAACTTCTTGCAAGATTGATATAAAAGTTCAGAAAAATTGGAAATTTGATTATCTCAAAGAGCATGGGTTGCAGTAGTTATTTTCTGTAATCTTAGCGAATGTATTGTAGCGACTTCATAATAGTCAGAATAGGATGAAATGCTGCATCGTATGCTATTAAAAGCTCTTCGAAACCCTTATTCCATCAATGAGGCGCCTCTCTGAAAAAAGCGAAATTACTTTCGGAATTATCTAATATTTTGTATAAGTATGAAATTTTACGTTTTCTCGATTTGATGAGAAAAAGTACAGCGAAGGCACACATGTTTGCCTTGTGGGTGCGATTTGTGTAAGCAGGTTGCAGACCCGTAGGATTTTTTTTGAACAAAGATATAAATTTTTTTCTATTTTTCAGTTTTCAGTATACTCAAATGGATCTAAACATAGGATGGAT